GGGAAAGAGGAGCCGGTCAATGTTAATTGATGGAGGGACATACAGAGAGAGGGATTTGTTTGAAGCCCAAGGTATATAGGTTTTATAGAAGGAAAGATTGGTGTTAATAGGAAGAAATTCTTAGTACCATGTATAGGAAGAATTACGTGGATTCAACAAAGGAGGTTCTTGGTGATATGATGAATGTGGTTTCAAACAAGAGCTGGGAATTGAAGAGAGTTCATTGCTTTGATAGAAGATTGAGTTTCATTAATGTGTACAGTGAATGTACACCTGTGATCAAAGAATTTGCTTTCTTGGAGGTAAAAATGACAGCCCAAGAACCAAATGAAGATGTTGGATCAATGGTCCATGTTTTGTTTTGCTTAAAACAATGTGAGTCAAATATTTTTAAAAGTTGAGAGGAAAGAAGGAAAAAAGAAAGTGAAAAAGAGAGAGAGAGAGAGAGAGAGAGAGAAGATGGGAATTGGGACCAAAAGGTTGTTGTCTGTGGACCAACATCTCTAAGGGTAGGGTGGAGGTCAGCTAAGAAGTGCAGTGTATAGCCTCAGGCAGGAGGAGTCAAGCTGCATCCATGCACACAAGGTTCTGGCCTGCATGAAATTTGTGGACCTGGATGTTAATACTTTAGAAAGGTCTTATCTAACTGTATGAAGTAATATTTGCTATTATTTCCTAAAAGCAGAGGAAATATCTGAGGTTAAGAGACTAAATTGAATTAGAGTACTGTGTGTATTATATAATACAATTATTAAATCACAAGTACCTATTTTTAAGAAAGTGTGGATATTTGAGGCAAAGTGTTTACAATCAAGATACTGACTTCAGGTTCAATGAAATTAAAAAGTGAGTTGAACAAAAAAAAGGAGTCCCAAAAAAGCTGTTCTTAATGAAAGTACCAAATTTCTAACTATCAGAAGACAAATTATTGATAACTGAGAGGAATTAAATCTGCTAAAATATATGACCTAATTAATTCATTGTCACTCTAGGGTTATGTGACACTGTGTAGGAATATGATCCGGCCTGAATACTGGAAGGTTTGCCCCTTTGTCCACCATGAAGAGAAACATTATTTAAGGAAAATAGAAGAGGAAAGTGATGAGATTTTTCAGCAACTCAAAAGAAGTCAACACAATATGTACCTAAAGGGGAAACTCTTAAGTCAGATATATGAGGAACTCAAGGAATTGTGCCATAAACCAGACATGGAGCTGCTCCAGGTAAGGACTGAGGACTGGAGATTCATGGTGTTGCTTGTATAATATCCACCTTTCCTTGGCCTTCCATCATGTGCTTTCTTATCATGCTTTCTGATGCTGTGATAAGATGCTGTCCAGGTAATGCTAATGACCAAAGGCCATTCTTGCCATACAAAAGAATAACAAAGCTTTGTGGAAAGGTAAGTGAAAGAAATCCTAGAGTCATTCTTTTTCAATTCTCCTAACAGACATTCAATTACTGAACAACTGCAACAGAGAAGCTTGTTGGAAGATATATGAATTTATATCTGGACCTGGCAATAATGAAAAATTTGAGAATCTTGACAACTCATTTCCCCTTTCTGTTTCTTTGCCCATGATACAATTTGCTGAAATTTGGGTTCATCCACCCTAGAGAGTAAGAAACTAGGTCTTCGCTCTGAATCTTGTGAAGTGTACTAAGACTATCTTTTCTATTTCCCTCTTTACAGCATTATGACAACATGTTGGAAAGGTAAGTTTGCCCTCCTTTTCAAGTTTTAAGAACTGTAACTATGATCAGCCATTTGATGCTGAAATAAGAGCGTACGTTATCATGACACTATAACTTCTTTCATAAAGTATTTATGTTTCCCTTCTCCAAAGGCAGAAAGAGTGCCCTTGGTTGTTTTGCCTAAGGTGGAGCTGGGTAGAGGGTTTATTTACAAGGTTCTGTGCAAAGGTTACATGAAGACAACTACCACTTTTTTTTTTTTTGCGGTACGCAGGCCTCTCACTGTTGTGGCCTCTCCCGTTGCGGAGCACAGGCTCCGGACGTGCAGGCTCAACGGCCATGGCTCACGGGCCCAGCCGCTCCGCGGCATGTGGGATCTTCCCGGACTGGGGCACGAACCCGCGTCCTCTGCATCGGCAGGCGGACTCTCAACCACTGCGCCACCAGGGAAGCCCACCACTTTTTAGAAATACAAAAACACAGGGGGAATGTGCCCAAAGCCAGGACAGGATTATATGCAAAAAAATAAGGGTTTCAGAGAAACCTAATGTGGAAGCAAGGAGAGAATGTGCTTAAAGAGGTTCATCAGGGTATTGGCTTTCCATGTGTAGCACAAGGCAACTTCAGATGGAAAAGCTGTACAATGCATTTAGTGAAACTGAGTCCTAGGAAGAAAAATTGCTGCCCTAGCTAAGCTCCTCAACCACTAGTTTGTTTATACAGACACTGAGCATTTCAGTGGTAACTACTGTGGATTAAAATTTATAGTGCCTTTCTTGAATGTCCACAAATTTTTTTTAACATCTTTATTGGGGTATAATTGCTTTACAATGGAGTGTTAGTTTCTGCTTTATAACAAAGTGAATCAGTTATACATATACATATGTTCCCATATCTCTTCCCTCTTGCGTCTCCCTCCCTCCCACCCTCCTTATCCCACCCCTCTAGGAGGTCACAAAGCACCGAGCCCATATTCCTGTGCCATGTGTCTGCTTCCCACTAGCTATCTACCTTACGTTTGTTAGTGTATATATGTCCATGCCTCTCTCTTGCCCTGTCACAGCTCACCCTTCCACCTCCCCGTATCCTCAAGTTCGTTCTCCAGTAGGTTTGTGTCTTTATTCCTGTCTTACCCCTAGGTTCTTCATGACATTTTTTTCCTTAAATTCCATATATATGTGTTAGCATACGGTATTTGTCTTTCTCTTTCTGACTTACTTCACTCTGTATGACAGACTTTAGGTCTATCCACCTTATTACAAATAGCTCAATTTTGTTTCTTTTTATGGCTGAGTAATATTCCATTGTAAATATGTACCACATCTTCTTTATCCATTCATCCAATGATGGACACTTAGGTTGTTTCCATCTCCGGGCTATTGTAAATAGAGCTGCAATGAACATTTTGGTACATGACTCTTTTTGAATTTTGGTTTACTCAGGGTATATGCCCAGTAGTGGGATTGCTGGGTCATATGGTAGTTCTATTTGTAGTTTTTTAATGAACCTCCATACTGTTCTCCATAGTGGCTGAACCAATTCACATTCCCACCAGCAGTGCAAGAGTGTTCCCTTTTCTCCAGACCCTCTTCAGAATTCATTGTTTCTAGATTTTTTGATGATGGCCATTGAATGTCCACAATTTTGAGCCATGTTGCATAGCTCTGTGATTTGCTGAGAGGATCCCTTCATGATTAATTTGAATTGGATCCTAGGATTGCAGTCTTAGCAGATGGGATAGGATTTTCTTTGATTTTCATAAAACAAATTGTCATTTGCTGCATTCCCTAGTTTGGGGATTTACTTTCATGGCCCCTGAACCTAATTATTGAGATTTAAATAAAGTGTATTCAGAGGGATGTAGATATAATCACTGTGATGAAAACTGTGAGCTCAAAAGAGCAACCACATGTTGTTCCTTCCAGGAGTGAGTCAGCACAGCTGCACATGCCCCAGCCTGTAGTCCCACAGCTCAGTTCATGGCCCATTCCTGGACTGGTAGGCTGGCTCAACCAATTCCAAGGTAACAGGTAGCCCTCTGGTGGGAGAGTTATACATTCCTCTGTTAGTGTCCTGTGGGTGACCTTCCCCATTTCTCAATCTGTGGATTCTTTGCTGGGAACTTTTATAACCAAATTTACCCTTATAGAAGAATAACATATGGAGAAAAACCAAATTGGTATCTGGGAAAAAAAGTCATTTATAATGGGTTGTAGTAAGCTATCTGGAGGGTAAAAAAAATAGGAAAGGATAATTGATGGCCTGCAGTAGGCTGAGGTATGGAGTTGACTGTTCACATGAAACATGTAACTCTGCATGTACATTCAGTACATTCCAAGTCTTAGGAGAGTGAGGTTATCATTGGTTGTGAGATGCTTAGAGAGTTTTAACTTGGTTTATAAAACTATTTGTAATAGGGGCTTCCCTGGTTGTGCAGTGGTTGAGAATCTGCCTACCAATGCAGGGGACACGGGTTTGAGCCCTGGTCTGGGAAGATCCCACATGCCGCAGAGCAACTAGGCCCATGAGCCACAACTAGAGAAAGCCCTCACACAGAAATGAAGACCCAACACAGCCATAGATAAATAAATAAATAAGTAAATATTAAAGGCAAAGAAGAAAGGGGAAATTGTAGATAGAGTAAGGATCTAGTTTAAAAAAAACTGTAATAAATACAAAAGATATTTTATTCACATCACACAAAAATACAGTATGATCAAGTTTACTACAAACATACTATGAAATTTTATGCACATTGGAAAAGTAAACTGATAATTTGTTTCATTAAATTTGTCCCTTTTTTTCAAGGTATGCTGGCCAACAATTCTCACAAAAATAACCACTTCAAAAAATATGAATTTTTCTTTCGTTTTATGTTAACTTTGCATGCTTTAGTGAAAAGTCCTTATGTCAGGAAAAGTGCTCACTCTGTATGAGTTATTATAACTATTCATTTCTTTTAAGATGTTGGGGGTAGGAGTTTATTAATTAATTTATTTATTTTTGCTGTGTTGCATCTTTGTTTCTGTGTGAGGGCTATCTCTAGTTGTGGCAAGTGGGGGCCACTCTTCATCTCGATACGGGGGCCTCTCACTATCGCGACCTCTATTGTTTCAGAGCACAGGCTCCAGACGTACAGGCTCAGTAGTTGTGACTCACGGGCTTAGTTGCTCCGCGGCATGTACGTTTTCTAGCATATGGGCAAGCTACTTTTGTTTCTGACAGTAAATTTTTAGTTAATCGCAAATTTCAAATGTTCCAGGTAAAATAATGGCTAAAACTTAGCAATATGTCATATATATTTATTTTTAAATTATGATTTCTTCCATTTTTGTCTGGCTAAAATCTTATGAAGAGAGACCAGTAGACCTTGGACTGCAAAAGATTTCTAAAGCTCTCTTCTGTCTTGCCACCTTTTTCTAATAATAAGCTAGGAAACCCAGACACTATATAAAGCTCTTGTCCATCAGGAATTTATAACACTGTTTGTTAATATAATTTTTTTCCTTCTTCCTGCAGTGCACATTGCCTTGGATAATGAAATAGTCACTGGTCATGTCCCTGTGTTTGAAGATCTGAGACGTCTGCTGGCTGGTCCTGATCATCCTGTTGGCGACAACAGTCCACCAAGATCTAAATATCTTCTTGCCTGGGGAGCTGAGTCATTCACTTCTGGTCAACATTACTGGGAGGTGGATGTGGCGGGCTGTTGCAGCTGGGCAATTGGATTTTGTAATGATTCTTGGGCAAGAAAGAATGACATGGGACTTGACTCAGAGGGAATTTTTCTACTTCTTTGTATCAAAGAGAACAACCAGTGCAGTCTCTTTACCTCCTCCCCACTATCACCTCAATATGTCAAAAGGCCTCTAGGCCGGGTGGGGTTGTTCCTGGATTATGATGGTGGTTTCCTGAGCTTTTTCAATGTGGCCAATAGTTCCCTCATTTGTCGTTTCCTCTCCTGCTCCTTCTCTTCTCCTCTCAAACCTTTTCTTTGCTCTGGACACACTTGATCATGGACAGGTCAAAAATCTGACCACAGGTGTCAGGAATATCAATAACTGAGATTGTTAATTTAGTGCCCACTTGATTTTCTGTAACTTCTCCTTCCGTTATGAAATGTATTAATTGATTTTCTTAAAAGGTTGGATATGTTAAGTGTATACATTTGTTTCTGTTTTCTTTAAATAAAAATAATCTCTCTTGGAATGCTGTGCATTCATTATTCTATGTCTTGGTCTGTTCACTTGATTTCTAAGGTAGCAGAGGTCAACAATACTTGGCATGTTTATCCAGTTTAGTAGGTTAAAGCAAGAGCACAGTGTTCTTCTCACTGACAGACTTGGAATTCTCTTCTCCCTGCTATGCATCTGCTAAATCATGTTCCTTCATCAAATCTCAGTTTTTAAATATTTTTTTCAGGGATTTATTTTTTATTTATTTATTTTTTTGCGGTAGGTGGGCCTCTCACTGTTGCGGCCTCTCCCGCTGGGGAGCAGAGGCTCCGGACGTGCAGGCTCAGCGGCCATGGCTCACGGGCGCAGCCGCTCCATGGCATGTGGGATCTTCCCAGACCGGGGCAAGAACCCGTGTCCCGTGCATCGGCAGGCAGACTCAACCACTGCGCCACCAAGGAAGCCCTCAGGGATTTACTTTTAAAGCTTCCAGACTAAATGAGAGCATCTTGTTGGATAGACTCTGCAAATCTTATATTTTTCTTCATAAAACTCACAGCCTAATACTGGCTTTCCCCTCTAATTTACCTGCTGGAAGAAAGTTTACGTCTGCAATATGTACCGATAAGTTACCGGCAAGTAGAACACACCTACCGGCCTTAAATACATCTGTCTGAGTAAGTTAATAGAGGTACAAGGTCATAAATGAAAACATGATCTACGACTGTTTAAAATCTTGTTAAATGTAACAAAAATCAGATGGAAAAATGGAGGCTGTAATTTACCAAATATGCAAAATAGGCTACCTGTAAAAATAGGCTCGATAAATTCTCTATTACAGACACACTAAAGATAAATGCACACATATTTTAACAGAATGAAATTGATAGAGAAAATAAGACTGCATACCTCAGAAGTTTCAGAAATTTTAATGAAGAAACCTGTAGTCACAGATCTTGAATTCTCACCTATCTCAAAGGACAGTAACATTTTTGCTGTGTAAAATGAAGAATATTCAAGAAAAAAAATTGCATTTAAAAGGTTTCTGAAGTTAATAAAATCTTAAAAGTCAATGTAATAGTACATTCCTACCATGATTCATATGATCCGTAACTACCATATGATCCATTAATTTCACTTCTGGATATTTATTAGAAGAAATCAAAAGGACAAACTGGAAAAGATATATGGATACAATCTCTTTACAACAGCACCTAGATTAATATTTGCTTAAATAACTGCAAGAGATGTGAGTGTGCTAGAAAGTGGCTGGTGCACTCCCTTAAATCCCTGTAGTTCAGCCTAGCCAGGCTGACACACTAGAAATCCATTACAAGGACATATGCCATTTAGCATTAAAAAGTGTAAAAAATATAAAAGTTCTCTCGGGCTTCCCTGGTGGTGCAGTGGTTGAGAGTCCGCCTGCCGATGCCCTGGTCCGGGAGGATCCCACATGCCGCAGAGCGGCTGGGTCCCTGAGCCATGGCCGCTGAGCCTGCGCGTCCGGAGCCTGTGCTCTGCAACGGAAGAGGCCACAGCAGTGAGAGGCCCGCGTACCGCAAAAAAAGGTTCTCTAATTTTAGGCTTACTACACAGGATGGCCTACCCAGAGAACGACCTGAATATTCACTCTGTTTCTCAATAAATGCATCATTTTAGTAAACATTTCTTATCGCAGTGCTAATAATATGGTAACACTAATAATGATAATAGTGAAATTTTGTTATTTCAAATCACCTTATGAGAGCTTGACAGATATCAGTGCTTTTAACCTTTAATTTTATATCCAGTGTATTAATTGTTTTGTGGTGATTCCAATCAGTCTTCCCCAGTGTGCTTGACTCCCCCCACCCACACACACACAGAGCATTCTTATGGATGTGATTCTAGATTCTTCTCCTGGTTGCAGCAGAAGCATGGAACCATGTGGTAAGTGAACCTGCAGGGTCTTGGCTTCTGAGGCCAATGGAGCCACAAAAAATTCTTGTGACCTAGTCTGTGGCCTGGACTTTCCTGCGTTGTCATCTGCTACTTGTATGCTCTCTTAGGGTCCCATCAGCCTAACCTGAGAACAAACAGAGACCCTGGAGGTTACTGAAAAGCTGTTAGGGGGCTGACACTGTCTGTGGCTGGAGAGTTTTAATGGCTGTCAGCAGAATTTACAGATAATATGTAAATTGTCACTCAGTTAAAAAAGGAAGTTAATCTCTATTATTTTATTTTTATTACTAAGAATTATTATTTATATTATTCTATATCTTGTAGAATAAAGTTAACTGTTTTTTTTCTGCATATCTCATGAAAATGTTAATATTTCAAGTTGTTTATCTTTGGCATAAAAATTTGGCCTCTCCTTCAAAAATGAATTAGTGTCTACCTGTGAGAAAATTGACAACTGGCTGCTTAACAAGAGCTTATTTCTGCATCCAATGCAGTAGCTGTTGTCTAAAGAAATAAAAAATAACAGAAATAAATATATATCTAAAATAAATTATTATATGGCTTGAGTCAAAATACCTCCAACCCTTTTCAAAATTTTGTAGTCTGGTATTCATTGTCAAAATTTTATTAAATGTATTTGTATTTTACTGTCTCATTTTTATTGTATTGTTTATTTAGACACATGGATTTCACTGATTTTATGTGTTAGGTTAAAAAATGTAAATCATATTGACCTCATTGAGCTTTATGACATTTTCTTTGAAAAAATACTTAACTACATTTACAAGCCAATCTATAGAAAAATATTGAGTATATTTAGAGTTGGTCCCTGGAACTAACAGGAGCCATGCAAGGGAAAATGCACCTCCATAATCTGACACAGAAGTGTCATGAAGGTCCAGGGCAGGTGAAGGCCAACTTCCAAGGAAGGTTAAGTTCTGTTCCTGGTTCCATTATCCAGCTACCTGAGGGAGCCTAGTTCCAACAATTCCAGCTCTAAGCTCAATGGTAATAAGGACCCTCTGTCCTCCTGGGGCAAACAGTGGAGATTCCCATTTTACTGAAGCAGCCTGGACAGCGCAGAGTTACTGGTAGGAGGAACCATGGGACTGAGAACCCAGCTCTTTTAGCTGCAGTGCCTCAGACATGTGCTTACAGGGACTGGTTGTAAGAGAAAGCTTCAATTTCCCAAGGACTGGATCTCAACAGGGCCTGAGGAAAACCTTCTGCTCCATTAGCTCTGGAAAAAACCCACGAGTAGCCAAGACCCGGGGACCAGAAGGGAATTTGTGGCTTAAAATGTGTGGTTCTCCATGAGCTCACAAAACGTCCCAGGCTGCAGAAGTACCTGGCTGTACCAAGGAATCCTGACAGTTTCTTAAGGGACTGGACACAGGAGGTAGTGATCTGAATGTCCACATAAAGACAATCTGTCTGCAGTGAGTGCACAGCCCTGGAGCCTCAGCCCTGGACTCAATGGTGCCCATAGGACCTTCTTTCTGAGTAGGCAGTGACCCTGCAGACCTTCCCAGTGGCAACCCTTGGATCCCTATTCCCTTCCCTGCCTCTGCAGGTGCTCAGACTTTGAGAGCTCCACATGGTTTTTCTCCAGAGAGGAAGCTTTTCCATGAGGACACATGCCAACTCCCATACTTGAAGAATTGTCAGGGAAAGCACGGAGCAATTCTCTGCTCAACCCAGAAGTCACCCTTAGCGGATGTTCAGGAGGGAGGGGCTGGCTGGTCCTAGAGCTGCTCTTCTTCCCTTTTTTTTACACACAAAGTCTACATCCCTCACCTCCAGTGCCTGCAGTCCCAGAGGACTCAGATCCACTCCATTCCTGGTCAGACCTGGCAGAATAACTAGAAAGGAATCCAGCATACAGGATTCTATCTTTCCTCCCCATTTCCTCTTTGGTAACCGTAAGTTTATTTTCTATGTCTGTAGGTCTATTTCTGTTTTATAAATAAGTTCATTTGTATCTTTTTTTTAAAGATTCCACATATAAGTGATATCATATGATATTTATCTTTCTTTGTCTGGGTTACATCACTTAGTATGATAATCTTCAGGCCCACCCATGTTGCTGCAAATGGCATTATTTCATTCTTCTGAAGGCTGAGTAATATTTCATTGTCTATATATATACAACATCTTCTTTATTCATTCATCTGTCTGTGGACATTTAAGTTGCTTCCATATCTTGGCTACTGTAAATAGTGCTGCAATGAACACTGGAGTGCATGTATCTTTTCAAATTGTGGTTTTCTCTGGATATATGCCCAGGAATGGGATTGCAGGATCATATGGTAACTCTGCTTTTAGTTTCCTAAGGAACCTCCATATCATTCTTCATAGGGACTATACCAATTTACATTCCCACCAGCAGTGTAGGAGGGTCTCTCTTTCTCCACACCCTCTCCAGCACTTATAATTTGTATATTTTTTAGCGATGGCCATTCTCACCAGTTGAGGTTATACCTAATCACAGTTTTGAATTACATTTCTCTAATAATTAGTGATGTTGAGCTTTTTTCCATGTACCTGTTGGCCATTTGTATGTCTTTTTTGGAGAAATGTCTATTTAGATCTTCTGCCCATTTAATTTTTTTTTTTTTTATTGAGCTGTATGCATATTTTGGAAATTAATCTCTTATTGGTTGTATTGTTTACAAATATTTTCTCCCAGTCTGTAGGTTGTGTTTTCATTTTATTTATGATTTCCTTTGCTGTGCAAAAACTTTTGAGTTTAATTAGGTAGCATTTGTTTATTTTTGTTTTTTTATTTCCATTACTCTATGAGACAGATCAAAAATATCATTCCTGCAATTTATGCTAAAGAGTGCTCTGCCTATGTTTTCCTCTAGGAGTTTTAGAATATCTGGTCTTATGTTTAG